GGTCAGGGTTTAGGGTTTATTGGTTTAGGGTTCAGGGTTTAGGGTATCGGGTTATGCGGGGGCAATATGGGGGTCCTTTGGGGAGTATTTGGGAGTTACAGGGATTTGACCCCTAAGATGGCACATGCGGAAGAGCAAATGGACAATGCAAAGGAGATTGCTATAGGGTTTAGGGGTTGAGGAATTCAGGATTTAGGGCGTTTTGTCTCCCGCGTCCGGCCTTTCAAAGGCTTGTTAAAAGGGCGAAGGGTATTTCCATAGCGATATGGAAGTTTCTCAAAATGTTGAGACCCCAATATAAACCCTAGTCTATTATAATCCTTATTATGGGGACCCCCCAAAAGAGTACCCCTAATTTGGAGAGACCCTAAACTTTACTCCCTAAACCCTATATATCCCTATATACCCCTATCAACCCTTTTAAAGGTACCCCCTAAATCAACCCTACACCCCAATGGCACCAACTACCAAACAGTCAAAAAATGTGACTGCGGCTGCTCAGCCTTCACGCCCCAGCCCCAGGACTAAGGGTTTAGGGGTTTAGGGTTTAGGGTTTAGGGTCAGGGGGGCTTAGTAAATAGGTTAGAAACCCCTATAACCCATATAGTAACCCTAATGATCCCCATTATTCACCTAGTTAGTAAGTCCCCCTGCCCCAAACCCACAAACCCTGTAAGGTTGGGAGTTATGGGCCCTTAGGCGTCTTTAGGGACCCTTAAGGGTACATATAGGGTATATAGTATGCATATGAGGGATCCCGGGGTTAAGGGCCCCATACCAAGGGCACATGGTTTCAACCTTGGAAACCCTGAGCCCTAAGGATTACGCCCGATGAGGGCAACTTGTCCGAAGAGGACAAGAACAAAGAGACAAATCTGAATGATGAGATCAATTGCATCAAAGAGGCGGAAGCTGGGCCCAGTTGAAATACCACCCTGCCCTAATTTTAGAATCCCCGACCTCCTTCATACAATGGGGAAAGCAATTTTTAGTGGGTGGGGTTGGGCTTTGGTATTGGGGGCAGGGGAGTATGAAGTTTATTGAAATTCAGGGCCCTGGTTTCGCTGGTCCCCGGTGTCAGGGCAGTATGTTCTGCAGAACAAAGGAGGACTACGGGCCCTTAGGTAGATAGAATATGGCTCTGGGTATATTTTTCTAAGATCCCCATGTATCCCATATGGGTGACTATACCTATCCTTATAAAGAACTTACCGCATAGGACTTGTTCATGGCATGTGGGATGCATTGACGGTTTGGCCAAGGGTGTAGGAGCATGATACGGACTAGGTGGGATTGCCTGGTAACTCTTGAGGTTTAGGGTTTAGGGTTAGGGGTTCTTGACCCGCCTGGTTTTGGAGGAGTATCTAGGGAATCTGTTTCTATGAAGCATCGTTTTCTAACGACAGTCTCGCTTTCTCCTGCATGAAAGTTGGAACCCACTTACATGTTAAATGGATATGGCTGCGGTAGCCGTAGCCCCTAAACCCTAAATAGTCCCTTCCATTTTCTTTTCCATTATCCCTATATACCCCCTTACATACCCCCTGCATAAACCCTATTTAACCCTGCCCTATGAAACATTGACCCTAATCCCTAAACCCTAAAACCTGAACCCTAAAACCCTCAACCTCTAAACCCTAAAGCCCCCTATGAAACATTGGCCCAGGGAACGGACGACATCAAGTGCATGAAGTGCAAGGCCTGTGTTGCACGACCAGGAATAATATTAAGGTTTAGGGTTTAGGGTTTTGGGTTAAATAGGGACAATGGAAAAGAAAATGGAAACTAGTATATAGTATATTGGGACTATATTGGGGTTATATTGGGTCATATTGGGGTTATGTCATATGCCTACGGGGGAAGGAAGGAATGGACAAACAAACATGTAGGTCTTTGGGGAGTATGCAGGGCGGGCTGCTACAGGGATCCATTCCTCCATTATTGACCCCTAAACCCCCTAAAGGATCCAAAAAATGGAACCCCCCCAATATGAACCCATTACTACATTGGGGAAACTTGGGGTTTTTAGGGGGTTCCATTTTTTGGATCCTTTAGGGGGTCTGGGTTAGAACAGGCAATTTGTAGAAACTCAGCCATGATTGAGTTGCATTGCGTCAAGACTCCAAAATAGTTACACTCCCCCAAACTGACATGGAAACCCATATAGCCCCCTTCTAGAAGGACTGTAGTCTTTATAGGGCCTCTTTAGGGTTTCCATGTTAGTTTCCGGGAGTGTAAGACTAACGGACCCTGAGCCCTAAACTCTAAGCTCCAAACAGTCTCACCCTCGACCCTGAACACTGCCGGAGAGTCAGGGTGACTCAGTTATACGTATATCCCCTAGAAGCCACATAACGCACCCAGTTGTCCACAATTTGAACCTACTTTCTAAGTCCCTCTGCCCCTCCCCGTAGACTCTAAAACCCCAAAACGGGCCCAGTTTCCATATGTTCGTCTCTCTACCAAACCGTAGAACAACATGTCCAACGGGATCCAAGAACAGTAAGGCTTCAGATTTCATGGTTGAGAGTTTTTGGCAACCTTATAACCACAAACTGGGATGCTGTTAAGGAACTTAATTTAAGCTACTATATAGGGGAAACCCTATTATTTACTATATATACCCATTATGGTAACTTAATTTAAGTTCCTTAACAGCAACCCAACAAAGAATGCCTTCTGGCACAGGAGCCGAAGGACGACGAGGCCAGCACAGTCGAGAGCGAGCGGGTCTACGAGGAGACGTTGGGTTTAGGCTTCCGGGTGAAAGGGTGTTTCCAGAAATGAGGAGTCCCTTTCTGAGGGTACCTACAAGAAGCATTACAGGGCTCTTGGAGTCTAGACTGGGGTCCTTTCTTGTATGGAAACTATCAAGCCATCATGCGCAGTCTAATAACAAGGTTTTGATAACCCCAACCCTCCAACATTGGACCCTATTATGATCATGTGATAGTTATAGAGTTGCAATTTTGTGGGGTTGCAGTTGCCAAAAGTCAGTCTTCTACGGACGGCGAAAGCAAAAGCAATGGAGCGCTTCTCAGAGTTTCAGTCCCATATCTCAGAGGGTTGATAAGGACCCTTCTTTCAAGTGGGTGATATATGGGCCCCATAGTCTCAAAGTAATCGTGGTGGGGGGGGGGTCTATCAACCCTTTGGATCTATGTACACACCTCATTCTTGAGGAGCCTCCAGCAGAACCCGATTTAGGGTTTAGAGTTAAAGGCTTTAGGGTTAAGGGTTTAAGGTTTAGGGTTTAGAGTTTGGGGTTTAGAGTTTGGGACTTATGGCTTAGAGTTTAGGGCCAAGGGTTTACGGCTGCAATGTTTAACCCAAAGACCTAACCCCTTAACCCTAGTTCCTGAACTGTTCGCCCCAACCCCCAAGCCCCAAACCCTAAACCCTGAACGCCACCCTGAACCCTATAGTAGTTTCCATGTTCTTTTCCATTATCCCTATATAACCCCAATCTACTATCGTAGTTTCCATTTTCTTTCCATTATCCCTATAAAACCCCAACCCTAAACCTTAAACCCTAAAACCTGAACCCTGAACCCTGAACAGGAGGTCACTGAGACCTCCCTTTGGCTCGATGTAAAGCCTGGCCTGGACAAGACAGATCCTCAGAAGAACGCCGCGCCTTTAGCGGCAATAGGTGTTAGGGTTTGGGGTTTGGCGTGTGGGGTTGTGTTTTTGGAGCTGCGTAGTTTTTTGTTTTTTTTTGGGAGGGGGGGGGGGGGGGGGNNGTCTAGGGTTCAGGGATAAGGGTTTAGAGGTCAGCAGGACAGGTTGTCGGAGGATTTGAGAGCATAGGATTTCAGAGTTAGGATTTTAAGGATTAGCGACTCGGTTCGGGGCCTTGCTATATAAGACGGATATGTAGCATTTTTGGGTATGTGAGGCAGGGCGGGTTCTCTCTCTCTCTCTCTCTCTCTTTGTGTGTGTCTCTGTGGGGGCATCAATTATTTAAAAGCTGTTTTGGGGCTGTATGTGTGGGTTTCTTGCGTCCATAGGTTTCAGCACGAAAGCTAGCTTTGGCTTTTTGGCGAGTGGGCTTTGTGTTATTTGTTGGGGTTACAGGGGGCCCCAGAGATTGCAGAGTGTAGTAGCCCTAAACCCTAAAGCCTAAACAGGAGCTGTAGCATGTATGTTCGAGATCGGCCCTGGAAGCTCTTTATGTCCCCCCTTTTTTATGTTTCTGGAGTTTTAAAGGTGGCCCTATTTCGGGAAGCAGCCCAAATCCCAAGCCCAAAGCCCAAAAGCCTAAACCCCAAACCCTAAGTTCTAAAGCGCGCCTGCGAAAACAAAAAGAAGCACCTGTGGTCCAGTGGCTATGACGTCAGCCTCAGACGCTGAAGGTCGGCATTATCCATTAATAAAAGCCTGAAAACCTAAACCCCAAACCCTAAACACTATCTGTGGTAGCTGCCCCCCTACTTGGAGGGTCAGAGGGACTTAGTAAGTAGGCTAATAACACATAAAACCCACATAGTAACCCTATTTACCTTCATCATTAACCTGTATACGTATCAAGTCGCCGTGAATCCTAAACCAAAAACCATATAGTAGTTTCCATTTTCTTTTCCATTGTTGCTGAGTCCTCCTAAACCCTAAACCAAACATATTGTAGTAATATAGTAATTTCCATTTTCTTTTCCATTCTTACCAAGTCCCCATCTTATAGTAATATAGTAGTTCCCTTTTTCATTATCCCCGTTATTAACCTACTTACTAAGTCCCCCTGACCCTAAACCCTAAACCCTAAACCCTATAGTAGTTTCCATTTTCTTTTCCATTTCTTCACTAAGGCCCCCTCACCCTGCATGTAAGGTTCTGGAGCAGGTCACCGCTCTCGGAGATGCACCTTGGTGCAATGGGTTTAACCTCCCGGAAACTGACATGGAAGCCCCAAAAGGCCCAGTAAAGACCACAGTTCCTTTAAAGGGGGCCTAAAGGGGTTTCCCCTAAACCCTAAGCCGGTTTCCATGTTAGATTGGGGGAGTTTAGGTCCTTTTCATGTTTCCCGAATTTGGCTTCAGGATTCTCGACTTCAGATTTTGGGTCTGATCAGGCTTAGGGAGGCTTAGGGTTTTAAACGAGGAGGGAAGAACTCTGGAAGCCAAGTTTTGGCCCCCCTAAACCCTAAATCCTAAACCCTAAACCATCCCGCTTTTGGCTTTTGGACTGGGGTTCAGCTCCGGTAGCAGTGCTATTAGGGTTTAGGGGTTTTAGGGGTTTAGGGTTTTAGGGGGTTAGGGTTTTAAGGGTTAGGGTTTTGGGGGTTTAGGGTTTCAGGGTTGCCTTAACATTTGGGCTGGGGCTTAAAGGTTCCTCCTTGCCGCAAGCTTCGCGATGCATCGGGGAGTTCAGGAACGGTAGGGTTCTGCGTATTCTGTCTGAGATTCAGGCGGCTCAAAAGGTGGGATGAGGAAAGGTGCGCTAAAGGATCCCCACGGTAGATGCTACTATATTGGGGCTTATTTACTATACCCCACCTAAACCCTAAACCCTAAACCCTAAACCCTAAACCTTCCTTTACCTCACCCTTCGAGCAGCGTGAGAGATAGAACCCTTCCCCTAAGCCCAGGCATTCCCTTTTCCCTCATACTACACACGTGCCACACTGACCTCGAACTAGGGAACCACGGAGTATGGGAGCAGCGACCCTAAACCCTAAACCCCAAACCCAAAACCCTAAACCCCAAAAACCCAAACCCCTAAACCCTAAACCCTAAACCCTAAGTCCTAAACCCTAAACCCTGGAAAAGCAGAGGATGTGTTCGGAGACGACCCGTTGGTTGGTTGCTCCAAGCGCGGTGGCTGGAGAATGCACGTTGCTGTCGGTCAGGCCATGTGGGCTGTAAGGCCTAAACCCTAGACCCCAAAAACCAGAACCCTAGACCCTAACCCCAAAAACCCTAACCCTAAACCCTAAACCCTAAACCCCAAAAACCTGAACCGTAAACCCAAACCCCAAAAGTTTGAACCCTTGTTAGGTGGAGGATTTAAGGCTGGGGCTTCAGGTTCAAGGTTTGGGATCCTACCATTCCAGGTTAAGGGTTTGGGGCTTAGGGATCAGGGTTCGTGGGTCAGCATTTGGGAGCTAGAGTTGGGAAAGATTCTGGGGTTCACGAAAGGCGGTGGTTGTAGGTTTCGGTTTCAGGGTCTACACTAGCTAGTCTGTTTCTCCCGGTCGTCTAAGGTTTGGTAGAAAATTGGTGCACACTAAACCCCAAACCCTAAAAACCCTAAACCGGGTTCTGCTCCAGGGGATGATATATCAGAGTTCGGCCGTGCACTGGGATTAAACTGTGCACCGGAATTGATCACAAGATGTTGAACTAGCTAGCGCTTCATGAACAGAGTTTGCAATGTAGATACCGGCGCCTAAACCCTCAACCCCTAAACCCTTGGGCTATGTGACTGTTGTTTTATTTGGAGGAGTTATTGTCCCCACTGCAGACTAAACGTGTATCATCAGATAGCTTTGAGGAGGACCTCCCGACCTGTAATAGTGGTATAACAGGAATATAAGAGGATCCTAAACTAACACTGATTATCCCCTACTATCACAGTGTGGGGGGGTCCACCTAAGATATCTTTCTTTTTGGCCTAGTAGTCTTTTGTTATGAGCAGGATTTGGTCTTACTTGCTTCCATTACAAGAACATTGCTGATTTGTTGGTCTGTGCCAACATGTCCAACTGAACTCTTTTTTTCAATGTTGGAGGACCCCAATCACTGTAAGAGATTCCGCTCGGACCCAAACCCCCAAACCCGAAGCCGTAAACCCTCAAATCCCGAACCTGAAACCTAAGACTAACCCTAAACCCCAAACCCTAAAACTTAAGATCCAAACCCAAGACAGGAAAAGGTCCGAAGGCTCCCAGGTTAACCCACGAATTTCGAAGCCTGAAGCTGATAATTATTATTACCATGGTTGATGCGACTATTATTTCCAGTACTTGCATTAAAAGTTGCATCGCTACTATTACCGTTATTACCAGTAATGCTACTCTCACTATTCTTACTGTTGCTGCGGACATTTCCTTTTGCAAGGCGGCAGAGAAGACCGTTCTCCTGGGTTTCATTGTGCCTGGATGGAAATTTCTAGGATGCAGGGTTAAGGGTTTGGAGTGAGTGTTGGAAGCATTTTCTCTTGTCCTCTTGGGGCCCAGAACTGATGGGGTTCATCCTGCCAGTAACGAAGCACATCGTTTGACATGCCCCGTAGGCAGTTCATCTAGAGGCAGAGTGTTGTTCATGAGAACCTCCCTAGATGGTAGTTTCCATGAGTACCTCAGGGGCGTTAGAATAGACTGCAAGACATTACAAACCTTATTATGGGGACACCCAAGCAAGGACCACAAATTTCCGTAAACCCCCATATTCCTTACCATCCACATCTGAAAATAGCCATACATCTCACTAGGGGTCTAACCTCCAGTTAGATGAGCCTCAACCTCCCCAGCCCTAAACCTAAACCCTAAATGAGCTATAGTCTAAGCTCCTTGAAGGGGGTTATATAGGGGATTGTATAGGGGAGTATAGTAGGGGTTACTAAGGGGAATGCTAGGAGTTTAGATTATTGCGCACATCAGACAAACCTGAACCCTAAATCCTAACCTTAAACCCTAAACCCTAAGCCCTAAAACGTGAACCCCAAGTCTTGCCCAGGTCTGGCGCATTAAGCCGGAGCGCAATATGCTCATCGCAGCCCAGCTTTGCTTGGCTTTAGGGTTTAGGGTTTAGGCCAAAAAATACTCCTCAGGGTCAGGGAGGTGGTTCGGGCTTCGAGTCTCTCACTCTGATATTAAACACCACCCTTGACATTATTAGATACGTCTCCCAGTACATATATGTATATGTTGTGTATGTATAGTTTCTTATGGGAAGCATCTCAGTTCATATTGTGGGTGGATGGGAGGTTGTTTAACAACAGTACAGTATGAAGGGACTCTTACCGTGGGTCCCGGTTCTAGTATCCGCATAATGATACTTATGACTTATGGGCAACATGGCCTGGTGTAGATAAAGGGTTTGGGATTCAGGGTTTAGGGGCGTTTTAGGGTTCAGGGTCTACATTGTGTACAGGAATCTAGTTTCAGTCACTTGTCCCACGGAAGCCAAGCCTGCGGTAGGTATATCCTCGAATTTACTGGCAGGTACAAGAGGACACTAAACGCTGAACACTAGGACTGGAAGAGTATAGTAATTTCTGTTTTCTTTTCTATTTCCTATAACCTCAACCCCATGCAACCCCTTTAATGGGACCTAAGGGCCTATGCCAGTTTCCAGATATGAGCCGTTGGCACTCAAAGCAGAAAAGTCTTGTCCTATGGTGTACGGGGTCAAGGCTGAGAATATGTTTTATTTTCTAAGCAAGGTGACCATCTCCGTTTCTGGCACCCTCCCCCTCTTGGCCGGCTTGCCCAACAACGTGGAGAGTGCAACGCCCACATTGAGAAAACGCTGACAAGTCACAAGTCGAGATGCAGCGCCATCATGGCAGCCCCGGCACACCTGCAGCAAGAGCAACTCTGGGTGGAGTGCATCCAGCAGGACACTCGCACCATGAAGCAGCGGTGCGTTAGCCTCCTCATTGTGGACGGCGACGGCGCCTGCTTGTTTCGCTGTTGGGGCACGCTGCTCCCCGGGCACGATCGGCACCATTTGGAGCTCCGAGCGAGCTGCGTCCAGCACATAAAGCAGCATCATGACGACTTTGAGCCGTTCGTGATCGGTGAGGCTGCGGTCAGCTCCTTTGAAGAGTACCTCAGCCTCATGCGCCAGCCGGACACGTGGCTGGGCAGCTGGAGCTTGTAGCATTGGCACGCATCTGAGGGGTCAATGCTGCGTCTTTGCTGAACGTAGATAAGATTCTGGGAGCGCGAAATGTCAGGCATGCCATGGAGCAAAGGGGCGGGGAAGAGAGCGCGAGTGGAAGGGCCTGGCCGCGTCTGGCCCGCGTGGCTGCCGGTGTGCAGTGCAGTGAGTGTTTTTTTGGGGGCAACTGCTGCTTCGACAGGGTGCTTCCCGCATGTACACCACTGACAACTTTTTCACCACCAGTCAGTCTTGGCCAAGTGGAAGGAAATTGAGTCATGTTATCTCAGCTTTGGGTGCTACCCGCGTCGCGTGAGGCAGATTTGGCTTTCATACCCAGACATACAGACCCCATGTTTGAGCATTCCTCTAGTGAACTCCTGCAGGTGACAACTTTGTTCACTTTGTTCAAACAAGTAAGTGCGTGTGTGAGTGTGTTTAGTTAATTCACGAACAAAGTGACCAACGAAATGAATTAAATAAACCCACGGCACACTCACGAAATTACTGAACAAAGGGACCCAGCTTATGATTCTGCTCCTAGACAAGGATACCACTGTCCCATTATAAAGTTACCACTAGAAGACATTGGACAGGATGGGAATATCTTGATAACAGCTATGACATGTTGTAGGTTTACTTGTTATCAAAACAAGGAGCCTGTTTAAGGTTTGCCATTTGGCGATCGTAGCAGAAGCGGGCTGGCAAACAGACGGCTGCTTAAGGAGATTGACCTGGGTCATGCGTAATGTCTGAGTGCCCGCATCCCACTATAATCCCCACCTGCTACCACATCAGACAAATTTCAACATTCGCTAAATTCGGCATCATCTGAGGTGTCGCAATTGGCTGTTCCCGAGCAGTATCGCCGGCATGGGTTCGGCTTCTTGCTCCACATTACCAACCTTTATATGATAGTTCCCCTAAGTAAGGGGACCCCAATATAGACCCCAAAATACTATCATCCTAATTATGGGGACCCCCAAAATGGCACCCCGACATGTAGGAAACGCCCATATACTTATTGGGGGAAAAGCATTCCTTATCAAACCCTGAACCCTAAACCCCAAGCCCGAATCAACAGGGCTTAGGGTTTAGGGTTTTTTCTAAGAGAAGAAGGGGGCTAAGGTAAGATGCTGATCGACGTCCTCATCGCAGAAGCGAAGCGTGTGCCCCAAGTCTATACAGTCAGTCACTTGGCGGCCATGCGGGCGTGTGTGACAACAGCCTGGGGACTATTCACAGAACAGAAGGTCCAGCATCTAGGGTCCATTAATCTGTCAGAACTGCAACTATTCGCTGCGATTCTGACCTTGCGAATTAGTAGTTATGAGCGTTCGCCAATATTAAGATGCCCTACGAATTTCCAGGCATCATGAGGTCTGCGCTCTATACATTGAAGGGCACAAGGTTTTCGGTTTAAAGATTCCCGGGTTGGGTTTAGGATTCAGGACGTATTAGGGTTTCCAAATACAAGGTTTGGGGCCTTTTTTTTTGCGCAAGCCTCGACCGTAACCCCCGCCAACCCAAGCTGCACGACCTTACTTGGAGGGTCAGGGGGACTTAGTAAGGAGGCTAGGGTTTAGGGTTTAGGGTTTAGGGTTGAGGGTCAGGGGGATTTAGTAAGTAGGTTAATGGGTCATTGAAGTAATTAAGCTACTTACTAAGCCCCCCTGACCCTCCAAGTAGACCCTAAACCCAGCGCGGAAGGTCTTTCTTCGTTGCCTGGGTCGGTGAAGTTCTACAAACGTCTCGGCTTCAAGCAAGTCCAGCGCAACTAGTCTGTGCCATTTAGGGTTTAGGGCTTAGGGTTCAGGGTTTAAGGTTTAGTGTGGGTACTTCCGAAGGGCCCAAAGAAGGTTGTAGTCATAGTTGTCACTTAGTGTCCAGCCGTAATCCTAAACCCTACACCGCCCCTAGCCCTTACCGCCTAACCCAAGACCTTAAGCCTGGAACCCCACTCTAAATGGTAGTTTAACATTTTTTTTCCAGTCGTATATGTATATATGGTAGTTTCCCAAAATAGCGGGACCCCAATATAGACCCCAAAATACTATAGTCCTTGTTATGGGTGCCCCCAAAAAGGTACCCCTAATTTTAGGAAACTCCCATATATCCCCATATAACCCCGAGCAAGCTCTCAACTTTAATTCTCATTTATAATTCTTTTCGAACGTTGATAAATGTCAAAGTCCGGACTGGCCTGAGGAGTTTAACCACATCTCCCGAAGAACAACACCTCCTGGGCTCTAAATATTAAGAAATACTCGGAGGGTCAGGGGGACTTAGTAAGTAGGTGAAATACCCTTTTGACCCACATATTATCCCCAGTCCCCCGGACCCTCTGGTGTAGGGTTTAACTCTAAACCCTAATCCCTAGACTCTAAACGATTTTGGGTTTTGGGGGGTATTTATCACTAGGAGGTGGAGTACTAGGAGGACAGGATTCGGCACTTAGAGCACAGTTGATATTGATGGTAGTCAGCCGGATCTTTTGCTAGGGGACGTAGGATCTTAATGATGTCCATGCATGTTTCTCTTTTCAGGTTTTGTGCTTGACAGGCCAGCCCTTGATGTTTAACCAAGTTCTCGCCAAAAAACATCTATATAGTTGCTGGCGTGCATAACGCTAGTCACGAGTGTTGCCTAATGTTCCTACCTAGCCCCCAGCACGTAAACCTTAAACCCCTATGTCATCTTAGTTTCCATTTCGCTCTCTATTTTCTGTTCCACTGGATTTTCCATCGTAAGCGAAAATACTATCCTTTTTTATAGATTTACTATATCTTCCTTACAATCCCTGCATCTAAGCCCTCCTAAAACCCTGACCCCTAAGCCCTTACCTACATGTTCCCTTGCCTGGAGCTTTTGTTCGGGGTGCGCCTTGCTCTGATAAGGCGCCGTCACCTGGTGCCGTAACAGCTGTTACCTGAACCTCAAAAACTAGGTAACCTGATGCCCCAGCGTTCTCAAGGGTTAAGGGTTTAGGGTTTGGGGTTTAGTGTTTGGGGTTCAGGGTTTAGGGTTTGGGGTTTAGGGTTTGGGGTTTAGGGTTTAGGGTGTTTAGGGTTTAGGGTGTTTAGGGTTTGAAGATATTCCAGAATGCTGTTATTCCACATGTGTTCTTGAGGGCTTAGGGCAGGGCTTTTTTCTTTGTACATCACAGGCAAAACAGAAGTTCCACTTGGGGTGCCGATCATGAGACCCCATACTACAGCCCCCTTACTCCTACTCCGCTAGATTTGCCGTAGATCAACCCTAATTCTTCTGTTAAACCCTAAACCCTAAACCCTAATTCTTCTGTTGGGGGTGCAGTTTGGGCAGGGGGAGAAGGGGGCGAGTATGGGATCCAGTATGTTGACCAGCAAGAGCCGCCAAATGTCTCTTGCTGTTCATATGCGGTTTAGGGTTTAGGGTTTAGGGTCAGGGGGACTGAGTAAGTAGGTTAATACTGGGGATAAGTAAGGTTACTATATGGGTTATAGGGGTTCTTGGCCTTCTTTCTAAGCCCCCCTGACCCTCCAAGTAGTGTTGTGTAGGTAGGGAAAAACCAACTTACATCCTGGCAGTGTCCTAAGGTCCCGTATAGCTTACCAATGCTTAACATAGCGGTGGCGCAATTGTTTCGTAATATGCCCACCAAGGGTACTATTGCTTGTTTACCGCATTTGTGAGGTCGAATGTATCACTCAAGGTCTATGATCAATGCAGTTTCCCAAAATAGAGGGACCC